AAAGTGCATTGCCTTCTTCATCAACAAATACGACTGAATTTCTTACATTTACAGCTTCCTCAGGTGAAAGTGCATTGCCTTCTTCATCAACATGTACGACTGAATTTCTTACATTTACAGCTTCCTCAGGTGAAAGTGCATTGCCTTCTTCATCAACAAATACGACTGAATTTCTTACATTTACAGCTTCCTCAGGTGAAAGTGCATTGACTTCTTCATCAACAGATACAACTGAATGTCTTACATTTACAGCTTCCTCAGGTGAAAGTGCATTGCCTTCTTCATCAACAGATACTACAGATTTACGTGAATTTGAATTAACATTAGATGATCGTCTTCCTTTATTTGCATCATCTTCATTTATATCAATCGGTGATAAAATAAATGTAGGTTTAGATTCCCCAGGTTTTTGTGAATTTGAAGAAGCTGGTGTTCTTGCTTTTGGTAAATTATTTGGTGAAAGAGAAATATTTGTATCAAGTGATAAATTGTTAGAAGTATTCGGTGTACTGTTCGGAACATCTTTTTCTGAAGCACCTGCTGATAGGGTTCCAGCTTGCGATTTAGTATTTGGTGTTCTGTCTGGAGCACCTCCCGTTCGTGATCCGATTGGTAAATTGTTTGTGATATTTGGTGTATTGTTTGAAGCACCATTTGATGGGAAACCAGCCTGCAAGTCTGTTGGTAATTTACTTGTAGCATTTGGTGCATTATCCAAAGCATCTCTTGATAGTGCACCTGTTTCATTGAAATGTGAAATAGGTAAACTTTTAGATTTTCCATTTTGAGAATTCGGGGATTTTGGTAGGAGTGTAGACCATCTTTTACTTGAAGGACGTTTACTGGGATTTGCTTTTATTGAAAGAATATTATCAGTAATAGCCGGGTCATTAGTTTCAGCTACAGAAGGCATATCAGATGTGACATCATTTTCCTGATTATTTTTAGAAACTTTTGAAATAGGTCTTGACATGGGGGCTGAATTAAGTATTGATAAAGGAGAGAACGGTCTATTTTTATGTGGTGGTTTCTTATTAGGATCCCCATCTTCGATATCCAGAGGTCTTAGTTTAGGACCAGCTTGATCCGCTATATTGACTAAATACAATTTTGCAAATTTTTCTATCGCATCTAAACGCTTTTGATATAATTTAGGTTTACGATTTGATTTTGATCGTGAAACAAGTGGTATTACATTTGGGAACTTTTCTCGTAAATTATTTTTTGTTTTACGTCTACAACATGTCATTTGACATATTCCCCATGGTGCTATAACGGACCGACCTAAATAAATATGAATTTATATAAATATATATGAGTGTGTGAAATAAATGTTTTGTTGGGAAGTTCAAGAAGTAGTCCTTACCAAATAGGCATACATATATCTTCACAAGTAATCCGTAAAACGCGGCTAATAACGCGATTGAATTCGAGACCTGTGTTTATGTAATTTTTGCTTAAAAGTCCTGACGACGAAAAAAAAAAGAAAAGAAAAGAAAATTAAGTTAACACTTACATTAGAGTTCCTACGTATTAATTTTTTTTTTTTAAAAAAAAAAAAAAGATCAATATCAAATAATAAATTTAGTTACAGATTAAATAGGTATAAGATTATTTTTCTCCTACCTAACTTCAGATTGAATTTCTTCCGTCCAATCTACAGTACCAACGAACAAACTACCATATGTATTCGGAGTAAATCCCGATACTACTCCAGGAACTTGTACCGATTCTATAATACATCTATTAAAACTAATGTTCTTTCGTATATGCGTATAATAAATAAATGCTAAACTAAAAAAATTTAAAATCTACCATATCTTGATTCAATAAAAGGTTGTGGAAAGTACGCTGGCGGTACGCCTAATACTGTGAAAAATGTTGGAATCTGAAATTTTTTAATTTTCCTACTAATATACATTTTATTAACCTGCATAATAAATATAAAAGTAAATGTTAAATCATTAAATAATAAAGTAAAGAATGTGTGATCTTGTTGTGAATTAAATTACCTGTTGATAACCAATAACATGAAAATTTTTTTCTTCCAAATTCTCCATAAAATGTGGATTTAAACTACTAATCGTTTTTCTAACGGAGTCGGGCAATTGAGTAGGAACGAATACTGTAAAAAAAAAAAACAAACAAATAAATAAATGATGTATTTCCAAACACAAATAAAAAAAAATTAAAAAAAACCCCCCAATAGAATACATTGATCGTATGCTCTAAGTTGCATTCCATTATCATCGGCAGCATTATATGCTTCATCAGTTATAGTGATTAGGAAAGAAACTCCATATCTTTTATCAGGTAAACTATAATTAAAGCGATCTTGAATTGGAGGATAAAATAACCCCGTGCAACGTCCATTGAACGTGTTATTTGGATCTAGTTCTTTACATTCTGTTGGTACGATATATTTGTTACAATTTGCTATATCTTCTTCAGTCGGTGCTCGAAGGTCTACGAGTGAGGGAAAAAAATTGAGTTGCTAATGAAATAAAGGATTCATGATTGAACGTAATCGAATGAATTTCACATTGAATTTACCAAGATAATTAATTTCGCATGACATGCTAAATTCGTATTTTGAGGAAATCTTTACAACTTTAATAAAGAAAGAAAAAATTAAAGAATTGATTTAAAACGCGTTCGAAATATACAGATATATAAATATATATATCATCCTCTTCAAATATTCAATTTGTACGTACCAGGTACGGGAACATAAGGTGTAGAGATTAAAGATTTCATTAAAAACACATCATTGGTAGCAAAAAAAAATAATATAATTCCATAAAGGAATAATATGGCTAATAAGATTGTTAAGCTTAATCCTCTTAGAATTACTAATGGACTATGTTCAGTAAATCTATATTTATTGATTAATTCTCGAGGTTCATGGATAAATTTCGTCATTTCGATCAATTAATTATTATTGATAAAAGTTATTGTACAAGTTTTTTTTTAAAATAAATAAATAAATAAATAAATAATTCTACTTTTTTTCTTTCAATCTTTAAATTTTTCAAGGCGTTTAAATCATCAATCATCAAATTTTTTTTTGTTTTGATTAAAAAATGAATTGACCACCCGAAAAGAAAGAAAGAAAAGAACATTTCTACAATATGATTATTTAAAATCAAAAAAAAATTTTCACGTAGTAACATAAACTTGATTTTAATTTAGGCGTGCATTGTATATTAAAAAATTTTGTGCCGATTACTTCCAAAAAAAAAATTTTTTTTTCTGCATGGAAAAAAGGGGTCCACACTAAGATCAAACGAGGAAAAATGAATAAAAAATATTGACGCCACTTGCTTTTATTTTTATTTTCTTATCTTGGAATGAAAAATAAAGTAGGTATATGCTCCTCTAGCGATGACCTAGAATAGAACTAAATTTTAACTTTAAAATTAGATCTTTACATGTCACAAAAGAGACACAAACAGCAATACGCGTTAACGAGAAACATTGCTCTTTTAATATTTTACGAATTTTTCATTGGTTGTAACCTATATCGGAATTTCCTTGACAAATTATACGTTTTTCCTTTTTTCTTCAATTGGTCAATGCGAGTGTAACAATGATTGAGGTAGGATTCAAAGAGAGAATTGATTTAAGATAACGGGTATCGGGTGAAACATTTTGGGACACAAAAATTATTTGTTCTGTCGGGAAATCGACTTAAATATTCTGATAAAGAATTTTAACATACCAATATTGGATTTTCCGTATTAATACTTTTCGTGTAAATGTTTTTACACGAATCTCGTATTATCGCGTATATTATGGGCGATCGTTCGGCCAAGTTACGGCCAAATTACCAACAGCGAGCATGTATTGTGTCGTACGAGGTCATTTAGGTATATTTATCGGATTAAAAATCATCTTATATTGAACTGTTTGTTACAAATTAACACAACTTGAGTGATGTAACTATGTAAATGGAACCCTTTTTCATTTGTTTAATGAGTTCTAGAGCATACTTCACTAATCCGCAATCCGTTAAGGAAAATACAATGAAAATTCCTACAATTAAGATCATCAAGAGATACAAATTCAATGGCAAATAGGGGTAATTCCGCATATATTTACTGCATACTTCTGTTTGCTATATGACACTTGAGGTTGGATCAAGTGTCACATAAATATATAGTAAATAATAATTATGTTCCTCAAAACGCCAATCTACAGGATTTAAATTTGGAATTCATCCTAGTTTTTTTTTAGTACATTAACTTTATAAATAAATTTGTTATTGTTTTATGCAGCTTATTTTGAAATAATATCAGGAAAAAAAAATCTTTATTATTCAGTTTGTAATTAACACAAGATTTTCACCGTCTCTCTTTCCTGTTTCCTTCAACTTGGTCTAAAATTCCCTTAACGACGGCTTATTGATTATCTTCTTTGTATGTTTATTCATCGAGGAATTTATTAGCATAATATCACAGAATATTTGTTTGTTATAAAGTAAAAGATATGGAATTCATTAATGAAACAACAGATATAATACGAAAATATCGAAAATCAGAACCTGGTTTATTAGTAACCGCAAGAGCAACTCTCTTATTTGTTCTTGTGGTTTTGTTAGGAGGTTATTTTGCTATCTCGACGGCATGGATGGTATTAGATAAGGGTATCATAGTGAGTCGATTACAACCCGCTACAATAATACCTGTTCCCGGTAGGTTCTGGTTTTTCGGTTGTTGCACCCGTAGAAATTTCCAAAGATTAACAAACTTATTCGCTTTTTAAAGACGTGGAGATTTCGTTTAATTATCATTTTAACATAGCATGTGAACTAAGATATCTTGGTAATTATAGTCTTTTTTGCTTGATTGATTTCGTTTCCTTCATCATCTAATGAAAGTTGCTTTTTCTATTAGATGGAAGCCCATCAAAACCATGTGACGAAGACTTGGTTACGCAACCGTCATGTGACGAAAACTCCGAAGACAAACGATGGCATGGCTGGTTTACTTCAATTGATGGTCGAGTAAAATTTAATCTCACCGAAAATTTATACGGTGTTTGGTTTACGATAAATATTGATGATCCAAGATATCAGAGAGATCTTGATTCGGGAATGTTTGTCAAAGTCCATGATTCGGATTTTAATCCGCGTACTGTACCACAAAGCGTTCATGACCAAGCATTAAAAATTGATCCAAATTTTTATGCCAGATTGGATGAATTGAATTATCATGTTATCGGCTTTCATCAGGTAAAACAAAAAAAAAAAAAAAAAAAAAAAAAAAAATTTAATTTAATCATTTCTTTTTTATTAATTTAGGTTAATTGGATGTTTATAAATAGGCATATAAGGAAAAAAATGATTCCAAATTTTTTTAGTGTTTTGGGTATTCCACCATCATACTTTGATGAAGCTTATATAACTTCTAGATATGGTTGGGCATCAAATAATTATATTATTATTAACTCTAAAAGAAATGAAAAGTGTCAATTCTAACGTGATCGTCGAATTGTTCTATATAATTTCAGAATCCGTCACAGCACCTGACACCGTAGAATTCGCTGGTCAGCCAACAATTGGTCCACAGAAATATGCCAATCTCTTTATCGGAACCTTGAATTGGTTTGAAGAAGTTGAAACTGAATCCAGGTAAATATAATTTAACTTTAATATTTATTAATCACTTTCATTGTAATTTTATATAATAAATCTTACTTTTAATTAAAAATTAAAAAAAAATTAGAACGCGTCGTGTAAGTATTTTTATTTTTTTATAAAAAAAAGTGTTAATCTCATATTAATAAAATTTTTATTGATTTTAATTTGATTATATTAGTTATTGGATTCTTTGGGAATGCTATCCGGATTTTACGGTTTATTAGTAGGAATTTATATTTTGATTTTCGGTAAGTTAACACGGATTTTAATCTCTTGAAAAAAAAATTTTTTATTTATTTACATAAAGTCAATCATTTCCCTTTATACCTTTGTAGGTTTCTCCCCAATTCTTCCTTGGGGAATATGTCAAAATTTTTGTATGCGAAGACAAATTAAAAGTGATCTTCATGAACAATATCCAAAATCAATTCCTCTTATAGAACCACCAAGTATTGATAAAACCGTAACAGAAAGAATAGATGATTTAGAACGATTTTTAAAACAATTCGTTTGCGATGTTGATTATATGGAAGATCTTGAAGATGATGAAGAAAATCTTGAAGAAGAAGTAGAAGAAGTTCTTGAAGAAGAAGGAGAAATGGATAACGAACAAGTAGATGATGACGTTGAAGAAGAAAATGACGATGAAGTTTATGATGAAAAAAATTGAATAATTTTTCTTTTCTCATAATATTCCTAAAAAAAGAAGGAATAGCTAAAAATCTAAAAATTTTACCAAGTCCTAAAAGACAATTAATGAACTTTCTTTTTTTTTTTTGTTTTAAAAAGAAAAAAAAAACACATTTATTTTAATGTATTTTATTCACTTAGAATTAATTATATTTGTAATAATTTCTGTAATTTTTTTAATTTATTTTACAAGTCCATATTTTTGTAGAGGACTATGTGTAAGCACGCATGTGTTTGTAATTTTATTGTATGTAGGAACAGATTTTTTTTTTTTTTAAAAAAAAAAAAAACAAAAAAAAAAATGCGATGTCTAACTCATTTAATATTTTTATGATACAACAAACGATAATTTTTATAATTGATAAAATTCGTTGACCATGTTTGATTTTAAAAAAAAATAACTTTATTTTGCCATTTATCTGTCGCTTTTTAAATCATCAAGGGAGGATCCAACTGTTCTTTTTTAAAGATTGGCTTTTTTTATTATTTGTTGATTTTATAATTACCAAAAGGACATAATTAAATGTTCTTTTTAGTAGAAAGAATTTCCCTTTTTTACGATTATTTTGTGGGAAAAGTCGAGTGGTGGAGTGTTATAAGTGGAAAAGCTGGAAACCAAACTATTGTTATTTTTATTTGCCAAGAGAATGGTTGAAGTTCATTTTAAAAAGTGGCAATCGTAAAGATCGTAATGACGAACGTATTGTAATAAAGTTGCTCTTCCAAATCAAAACTCACACTATGATGATTCAAAACGATAAAGACATATATCATTTAGTCGTAGTCGTCTTCTGCGATACCATACCATAATCTTCCGACAATATTGTCACATCTACAAAATACTTTATGAATACTTATAAGGTATAAATCTAAGAGTAAGAAATTAAAACTGTTAAATTTACGTCGATATCATCTTAATCTTCTTTCTTTTTATTTATTTATTATTATTTTTTTGTAAAAAAAAGATAGATCGGAATTTTAGCGAATTAAGCAAATTTTTTATTTGAAATTTTAATTTTAATTCCTTATGAAACGAAAGAAAATAATTTATATGTCAAGTTTAAAATGATCTGGTAATAAATCTTTAAGTATAACTTTAAGATAAGATCTATCAGGTTGAATGAGATAAATTGGAAGATGTTCACCAAATTCAATCATAAATTGGCTTTAATAATTAATTGAATTAAAAAGAAAAAAATGAAATTAATATCTTTAATTACGTTTATACTTTTTAACTTTTGATCTTATAGCTTACCGGCATATGCCACAAGGTCTTGTGAATTCGTTGACATCCCTAATAAAAAGATTAGAAAGATGAATTCAATTGAAAATGTATATCAATTCGCTTAAAAACCTTACGTGGATACGCCGAGGGCAACGAAATTCTTTTGACCTTCGCTCTGTTGACAAAGTCATTTTTTAAGACGTTTCAAATAATAAAGTAAGCAAAAAAAAAACAACTTACAATTGCTTTCACAAATGCGGTGCGTTCTGCACAGATCACACCACCTGATGAAATACGAACAGTAAGTCTGCCGCAGCATTGCCATTGTAACGATACTTTTTCACATACCATAAGAAGCATTCTCAATATTCACGCCTAAAACAGGAATATATTTTTATTCAATTAAAATAAAGGGTTTTTTATAGAGATAAATAGATACCGGTATACCAATTCCCTTTCTCATCAAGAAGTGCAGCACCAACTCGGAATTTCGAATAAGGACAATAGGCATAATCTTTAGCTAATAAAATAAATCATAACTTTGAGAGAATTTAACGAGAGCAGTTCTTTTTAAAAACTATTGGTATCTTAATACCTTTAATAGATAAATCAATGATTTTTTCTATCTCTACTTTAGTAAGTTCTCGTTCTTTAAACATAATGAGAAAGATTTTTTTTAAAAAAAAGTAGAAAAAGGGGTAGGGTTATTCCATTTATATAAACTATTTATCTTCTGATCACACTATTTATGGACACCATTTAAAAAAAAAGATTTATCATTTATTGATCTTCCATTCCTATATATTTAAAAGCATCATTAATAATTGCTTCGGCATTTTCGAAACTTTCTTCCATATAATTAGTAAAAGACTTTTTTTTTCCAGGCGATGGAATTAATAAGGGACTTTTTATATCATTTGTTATGGGTTCTAAATATGGGTTAATTTCAACTTTAAGGTTTGCTATCGCACTATTTTTTTTTTTTTAAAAAAAGAAAAAAAATTTTAGTTCGGACTTTATAATGAATGAAGTGATGTCCAAAGGAGAGTGAGTGTTCTTGTTACCTTGTGGCCATTGTGGCACAAACAGATAAAGAAACTGGAGATATAGATTCTTCAGCATAATCTTCAACTTTGGGACTTGAATGAATAAAAGTTGTATTACCGGCTATAGTTTCTTTTTCCATTAACATATCACATACTTTCTTCCTTTCATATTTGGTTTGTGGAAAATTCGGTGAATCCACATGTGCCACCTGAAGAAAATATGTATTGTCTCCTACTAATGGGACCTTTTGTTTCAAAATATATACATACATATTTAAGTAAAAAGTAGAAATGTATTTTTTTTGTCTCGTAATAAAAATATTAGTAACTTACATTCCAACCTATAAGTAAAAATAATCGATTTTTTAATTTCCATTCGTCAAGCAAAAGTTCGTAACATAATATTCCCTTCGTTCCGCAGGTAACTTTACTCTTAAATGCCCTATATTAAATCCGAAAACATTAATTCGTTTTGCATCAAATTATGGGATTGCTAAGGAAAGAAAGGGTTCTGAGACTATTATAATACATAGTCTCAGAACCCCTTTTTCCTAGTAAGCCTGCACTTTGGAGACGGCATAAATTTTCAATTACCCGACACCCCATTTACCAGGACCGATAGTTATCGTAGGAGCATTAAAACAATCAGTCTCTGACCAATATTCCATATTCCGTAAATGGTAATAACAATGATTATTTTCCACTGAAATGGTTAATCCTCTGGCCAATTGTTTTTGGATCGTGCTAACTGTCTGAATAACTGACGCTGCTGCATCTATCGACATTTTAAGAACGGAATACAAAAACGTTAGGAGAGAAAAGGTTTAGATGATAAATGAGGGATGTAAGGGACATTATATAGTCGATATAATTGTTTGATGAAACTGTAACACTGGCGATCAAATCTCGAAATGATTTTCATTCATTTGAAAAACCGAATAAAAAAGAAAAAAAGAAAAATAAATAAATCGAATGACATGTTAAGATGATAAAAAATTGTAACCATGAACTAAGACCACAAAGGTTAAAATGTAGGAACGCCATTATTGACGACAAGATGGTTTGGAGAAAGGTTGAATAAAAGCTAAATTATTCGCCCCAAAGCTATATAACCAGAATGATGATTATAATTGTTAACTTCAATAAAAAAAAAAATAATAATAAAAGTAACGCCAAGGGAACATTTTCAGCAAAATTCCCATGGGCTCGATTATTTCTTTGAAAATGTCTAAATTGGTTATAATCCAGTTTTAAATTACTGAGTGGGTTCTCTGCAATCATTTGAGGATGATTCTGAACGTCGTTTCTCAATGTCTGAAATGTATTCAAGTGTGTTATTATCGGTGAAGGAACTAAGATTAACAATAAGTAATAGAATGTCAAAAGACTTGCGTTAAATGGAATGATTTTATAAGAAATTCTTTCAATCATAATTTTTTTTCCTCTTTAGGACTATAATTATTTAGCCGATTTTAACTTATTTGGTACAATAAAAAAAACGTTTTTCAAAAGATCGTTCTGCATATAGAGTTTCATAGGAGGACTTTCATATGATTGGCTGATTATATTACACGAATTTTGCAATTAGTATTGTAAATATTTTATGCATATCACGTGACTTTAATATAATAAACTATTACATTT